AAATAAATAAGTAGGTAGGTAGATAATATGTACTTCTTTATTAACTCATTTAAATGACAGGATCTAGCAGGGGCCTTGGGACACTGTTATTTTGATGTACAGATGAGTGTAAACAATAGTTTGAAAAATCTGCAACTCTTGGGAACAAAGTCCCAGGTATTGCTACTACTGCTGTGGCTGGCCGCCTAACCTCACATGGGAAGGAGAAACTAATTTCAGGAGGAGACTAGCAGAAATCATCCAAGTATTTCCCCCACTCAGGGACTCCCTGATTTAAGCAGAGGTCCTCTCCTGGTATTTTGCAAAAATGTTAACAGTACAAGATTAAGTGGAAACAACAACAACAACAAACAGATTATATAAAATAGTGGGTTTTCAGTTGATTTTTTTTTTTTTTGGCCAAAAGAAAAACAGAACAAACATTTGTGTGTATACGAAATGCACCCAGAACAGTATGTGAAAAATATTTCATAAAGAAAAGGGGAAATGTGTGGAAAAATCAAGGCTCAATGCTGCCTTCCCAAGCCTTGGCTTGGGCTTCTCGCCGCCTCTCTGGGGACAACAGGGGGTGGGGGGGCCCACCAGGCCAGGAGTGTGTTTCCTTGGGTATCTCCCCACCCTACCCCTGAAAAACACCCAATCGGTTTGTCCAATGAGTTCATGGTGTCCTGGCACGTGCACCGGCTGTAAGGTGGAGACCGACTTTCAGCGAGGCCTGAATTTTGTCCCTAATCAGCTCTGTGAGCTCAGGTTGACCTCGTATCTCTCTCGATCTCAAATCCGCGCAGCTGGGGCTCAGGCTCTTGTTATTCACGTGGGTCTTATTCCGCCAGGTACTTTACAGTCTCCACCACGGACGAAGGAGCATCGAAAGCAGAGCTGTCGCGGCCCCAGGAGCAAGAGGAGGTGGACACGGCGGCCAGAGACCGCAAAGGCTGGAAGGCTCCCCAGCCCGGAGGGAGCCGCAGGCACTTGGCCGGGGGCTTGTGACCGATGGGCAGATTCGGGTTCCACGATAAGGGAGCACTTTTACCCATCAGGATGGCCCAGGATGAAGGCGGAAAGCGCGGGGCTGGGGACGGAAGCACCTTCCTTTCAGTTGAGAAGCCCTGTCATTCCGGCGAATCAATCGACTGTAAACTGGGATTTCCGCAAAGGATGCCCCGCGCTCTCCCCTCTCCTACATCTGCGTGAGGGTACCCGCGGGTGGTGCATTTTAGAAAGGTGTCCCCCCTCCTGGGAGGCGTAGGCGAGCAACGTCACAGGGACGGGTGGGAGGGAGCAGTTACTTCCGAGGGTCGGGCGGTTCTCCTCTCAGTTTCAGTGTGAAACAGGCGACATTTGTAAAGGTTGTCCCGGAGGCTCCCTTTAAGAGACGAAGAACAACTGTACCTGAAAGCAGATACCTGCCAAGTGACCGCGGCAGGACTCGAACCTGCAATCTTCTTGATCCAAGTCAGACGCCTTATCCATTAGGCCACGGCCGCCCGACGCCTGGTGCTCTTTTGACAATCTAAAAGTAATACTCACCGCCCTCCAGCTTGCCTGGGACCAGCCCATTTGTTTCTTATGGGAAGGGACTTTGGCTCCCAGAGTTCCGGGCAGGAGACCTGAAGTTCCCCGTCTCCCCCTGCGGTGGACTGGAACCACTCCCAGGCCCTCCCATTGGTCGCGCCGGGAGTCTCCCGCCTGCCTCTTGGGTACCTGCGGACGGAGCGGGGCGCAGACGGAAGTTGGTGGCCGCCAGGCGAGGGCGGACCGGTCGGATGGAGGCCACACGCCACCCCGAGGCTGTAGGCCGCGCGGAGGGAGGCGCCGCTCGGTTTGGCCTGGGGTCGGGAGCCGGAAGCACCGGACGGACAGAGGGTTTCCGGCGGGTTCGGCCTGGGGCCGGTCGCTGGGAGCGGCGGCGCATGCCCTCCCTCTCCAGTAGGGAGCGAGGGCCCCGAGCTGGGCGGGAGGCTCGTCCCAGGTGCACCGGCGGCGTCGCCGCCGGGTCGTGGGCACGGCCGGCCGGCCGGGCGCCGGGCCGCCACTGCGGGTGCCCGGTCGGCTGGGCCACGGTCCGGGCGTGTGTGGAGCTCCTGGGATGGCTGCCCGCCCTGCGGGTTCTGAACTGGGGCCCTGGCAGCGTTAGGCCCCTCGGCTGCAGTAAGTCGGGTATTGCAGCCACTGCTGTTGCCGACCGCCGCGCCTCAGACGACGAAAAAACCTGCCCCTAGGCTCATAAACAGTACGTCAGTCCTGTGACAGGTAGAATCAGTCATTTTACAGAGTAGGAGATCAGCCTAGGAGCTTGCCCAGGTCACGCATCTCCTAACGGCCAGAGCGATGGATTCAAACCTGCCAAACCTCCCTCAGGACCGTCAAATCTGTAGCTACCGCTCACCTCTCTGGCAAGTTCATCATTAACCTGCTGGAAGCTCATAGTTTCAGGAGGGGTATTGATGATTCTGTGGTTGTCTGGGGTCACTGCGTAAAACTGTCCCTAAAAGTTTTGGCATCGCCCTGGACGCAGGAGTGCCTAGGAGCGACGTGTCATCACTCAACACGAAATGCCTGTCCAAATAACACTTGTGTCGTCTGTCTCCTTCAGGATTGTGGGGTGAAGGCAGGCATGGTCAGACCCATTTCACTGACTGAACGCATCCAGACGGGCCTTCCACGTCTTTCGACCAGTAAAGCAGCTGCTGGAGCCCAAAGCCCGGTGTCCTGACTCCCAGCCGGGGGCTCCTCGCACCAACTATCGCTTCAATTTGAAGAAGGTAGGTCGGCGCCATCACCGTCGGGCCAGGCCACCCCGGCGCTGTCTCCGCCCGCCCCAACAACACCTCATAACGGTTGCCGGGCCATGCTGCCGCGAGTGCGCCATCCGGAGGGCTGGCAGCAGCGGCACAACCATGTAACATCCAGATGCTCGAGAGGGCTTCTGGCTCCAGGCAAATTTTCTCAAGGGGCTGAGAAGCTCGGGCGAGGTCATGTGCGCCAAGTAGCTGCCGTTACCTGCAGACTGGCCTGGGTGCGCCGCCACGCTCTTGCCGGACGTGGAGTTGCTACTCGTCAGCTTCTCTCCCCACGGGGCAGCCTGGACCAGCACTTCTCCGCCTCTGGCCCAGAAGCAGAGCCTGCCCCACCTGAGGCGGGCCAATCAGTTATTGGCGGGGTCTGCTTGCCCCCCGCCCCCAGGGCCTGGGCGGAGGGTTGGACCCGGGCATGGCCTCATGGGGGGAGGCCGCACTGTATCCCCGAGGAGGCCCCAGGTTCGACGTGGAGGTCTGCTTGCAGAGGGAACTGCTCCCCACGCTGGCGGTGGCCATCCCCCTCGGCCTGGTAAGTAGGGGCTGGGCCCGTGGTGGGAGCCCCCAGCTCACTGGGGGGCCCAGCCAGTTTGGCTCAGTGGCACGTTTATTGAACTCCCACTGTGTGCCAGGCGGGTGCTCTTCTAGGGACGGTGATTCCTTTGGTGAACCCCTAAAGAGGTTTGACCTGAAGCTTTCACAGAGTTTTCCATTTTGAGGAAGATACAGGTGGGAAATGACTTGTGTGAGATGTCAGGTGGTGATAGGGGCCATGTGGAGAATGTCAGTAGACCGTTGTACTTGGGACTGACGGGGAGAGCACTTGTGGTTACCATGATTTGGTGCCTTTCCCTGTCCCTTATAGCTTCCTGAGAAGTTAGTCCAAAATATCTAAACAGCATTTCTGGCTGCGGACGCTATTGGTTATTGTGGGCAGGAGAACTCTCCCTTTTGTGGGACTGTCCCAGGAGGTATAAGACATTTGGCGTCCCCAGCCGCTCTCTTAAATACCAGAGCGAGTATCCTGGCAAGTCACAAATGTACTCCACCCCGAGGCAGCAACCCCCCGCCCCCCACCATCCCCAGTTGAGAAACATTGCTTCCTTCCCCCAGCCTCCCAAGCAGGCATTTTGGTCCCCAAAAGGTATATCCAAATCTCTCTTCTTTTGAAATAACTTTCTAAGTGCTACCCACGTTTCTTTTTCAAACAATGATGGCAGTCCTGTTTCTCCCCTTTTTTATTCTTCATTCCAGGATTAAAATACTATTTACAACCTTAAAGCTTTCAGGCATGGCCAGCAAAAAAGTTAGCAGTTTCTTTATTCCTATTGGAAGCTACATCTTTGTAAAGAAAGCTGCGAAATGTTAAATATGCAGTTGAAAATGGTGAAAACATGGCTAAATAGATAAGGTAGGCATTAATGGCTGCAAAGAGCGAAACTAGATTCCGCATTGATTTAGTTCCAGTGAAGATGAGCCTCTCAGTGCTTATATGTAACTCGGTCAAGATAGAGGGAATGCGCCCTTCGTTTCAGAAGGTAAAGCAGGCCATGGTGGCAGAAGGAGAATTAGGAAACCAGTGGCAAGAAAGACTTGTCTTTTGATCTCTTGGTCCTTTTTGGCCATTTTACCTGAAGTCCCCTTTTCTCTTCCTCCTCCTTCCTCTCCCTGCCCTTCCCGCCCACCTCTCATCTTCATCCCGTTGCCGCCAGAGGTGCCGGGGCACTGCTGAGGCCTGGGCGCATCTGGGGACCTGCCTCCTGGGAGCCTGGCTATGGTGGGGAGCAGGGTTACCAGGTGGGGGCCCTCATAGCAGTCCACTTCACACTTGGGCATGTCCCCGCCCCATAGCTGTGTAACACCAAGTTCCAGAAAAGCCGGAAACTTTGGGGGGGGGTGGGATCGGTGGGGGGCTTAGACATCCCATAGGGCAGCTTCCCAGGGCCGCCGGTAAGGACCGTGGTCATCAGCCGAGAGGGGCATCACACGGGTGTCAGCATTTATCTGAGATTCATAGGAGAAGTGTAGAGTATTAATGGCATTGATCTGACTCATCTTAAATTTTCCAAAGGTGTTTGCATTTTGGCTTTCTTTTTCTTTCTTTCTTTCTTTCTTTCTTTCTTTCTTTCTTTTTTTATCATAAATTTATAGTAAGACCGCTCTCGTGCACAGCCGCAGACCCGGATCTTGCCACCAGCATGACTTTTTATTGCTACTAGAGTTCCTGTCCTCACCATAGCCTCGAATATTTGACATCTTCTAGCCTTTTCTTCAGGGGTGTTTTCAAGGGCTTTGAAAGCAGGGAGGAGGTTTCAGCCTGCGCCCCAGCGTATCAGCAGCAGTTGGAGTGTGAGTTAGATTTCAGCAGTTTGAAAACTAGGAATCTTTCTGCCAGTAGCCCCCTCCTCTTAAGAAACAGTTTCATGTTTGTTGAAACTGTTGAGGCAGATGGCCCCTGGCCCCCGCCCCAACCCCTGCAGAGGGTTGTAGGAAGCTCCTTTGCACCTGTGCTGGCCACACGCGGCCTGGTCACCACTTTGACGCTGACTGGCTCTGATCCGTTGGCATGATCTGTCGTTCACAGCAGGCTTTTTCTTCAGTGGCCATTTCCGCACGCTTAGCCCCGCGGATCTTGAGCGCACTCCAGCCTTCCCCCACCCCCTTTGCCCCCC